CACACACACACACACACACACACACACACACACACACACACACACACTTGAGTGAGTGCACTTGCAGTGATAATGTGCTTTTATTTCAGGTCAAAGTAGGTGCAGTGAACTGTGTATATCATAATTCTTTTTGCTATTACTCAATGAGGATTGGGAGTTACCCTACACTGCTATTCTACCCTAATGTAAGTATGACAATGTAATTTAACAAATAATAATAATAATAAGCCAGTCACAATAAAAATGGAAGTTAAATCGTGCAAAATATCTACGCTTATGTTGAATTTTTTTTCATGTTATTAATTTTACCACTCTCTATATTAAAAACACAGGCGCAGTGTACGCAACTACAGTCGTAAACACCACCACCAAAAAAACCCATGATTTTAGTCATTCGTGATTTTATTATAGAAACAGCCTAGGTTTAAGTGATACTTCTAAGTATTTATGTAATTAAACATATTTTTATAAAGAAAAAGTGTGTCGTATCGTATGGTGTAAGCAGATAGATAGAAAAAGCCCAAGACACCACTGTATTAAAAGATGAAATGTGTTATCTCAACGTGGCAGCATTTTACATAGTACTTATTCATATTTTAGTACAACCCATCTGAAAATATTTTAAAAAATCTGTAATCAGCATAATGCCTGAGGTTCTGGATTCGGTTCCCGGTGGGACCAATTTGGGTAAACCAACTTTTCTAAATGAATTCTGTTGTGAATATTCTGGGTAGTTTGTCGGAGTAAATTCTGTTGCTGAGGTGTTCATAGCACAGGGAATTTTCTAATTTGAGAGCATGTCATCGGTGTGATTCTCTAGTAGTCCATTACTATTATTAATATAAATTTTAAGTTAAGTTCATGTGCGGTCGTCTACGGGCACACTTAAGTGGTAGTAGCATTGCTTTTTAATTACTTTAGTGTATATGTACGTAATGTATACTAAGTAATTATGATTAATATTGTTCGATTTATCTTCCAATTTGTCACGGTTTTGTGACAAATTGGAAGATATGCTACATTTAATGAAGTATGACGTAGCAATAAAAAGCTATTTCAATTAGAGGATGTATGCAGATTGAATGTTGTACTGAGTACCCTTACAAAACAAATCCTACGACGCGAAAGTGCCCTACACAAATAAAACAATCCACAGTGATTGACGTTACTAGGCCTACTTTCGCGTTTATGCCTTAAAGGTGATCGCACACATTAAAAGAACCGACCGAGCTGAAAGAATCTTCTTATCGTGTCGATACTTCTTTTATTTTATAATAAGGAGTAGCCGAAAGAATCGACCACACCGAAAGGATTACATGTGTTTAGTTATTTCTTAAGTGTTGTCAAAGCGCACAATGTCTATACTGTACACTGTTTTGGAAGAAAAAAAAAGAAAAAAGAACTCCGATCATCACTATAAATAGTAGTAAAAATATAAATATATAATTTGAAATGGCAAAAAACCCCTGAATTTAATAGAAAATACCCAAAGGTGGCAAGGTGCCAGGAAATTATGCATCATCGTCCGTATAGTTCGCGCCGAACCTGAGGGTCTACTCTCGATCTCCGTCCGACATCCGTCCGAAACAATTACTGCCAAATATAAGCAATACTTGACCAAATGAAAAGACGCGTGATGCGAATGAAGCTTCATACTGGATATTTGGATATATGACATCATCCGAATTCGTCTGGGATTTTGGTACCTTTCGAATTACAACGAAAATTCGTCCAATTTGGCACAGATAAGTGTGCAAAGTATCATATGATTTCGTACAACGAAGTCCGACATTAGATTTTTTCGGCGCGTTCGGCACGGACAAGTGTGCGATCACCTTAATACCAATTCGATTGAAAACATAACCAAAATACTCTGTACAAATTAGTCAATTTATACAGGGGAAGAAAGGCAGCTTTGTCTACTACAGCGGCGACCGTGTCTTCGAGGCTTTAGATCAATTTATAATGAAGTACCTTAAAAACCATATACATATACCTACAGTCGCGCAGAAATTGAATTCAAATAAACCCATAGCGTATGTACTGGGAAGTAATAGAATTGAAAATGATGGACTTCATAGAATTGGATATCACTTGGTAAGTGTTAAGTATAATGTATAAACCAATCAGCCAAGTCAGAATGTCTAGTACGAGTGAATTAGAACAAATTTAAATTTATGAAAATGTATACGAACACTTTTTAATCTCCGTTACTGATATCAAATTTTATAGAAACACCAAAGTTCTATGATGAATTTCAAAAGCTTGCGACAATACGGGTCTTTAGAAATGAAACTATTTTTTCGGATCTCATAATCATTATCAACCCATTTTTACGTGCCACTGCTGGGCGCGGATCTCCTCCCAAGCAAGGGTTTACGCCATAGTCCACCACGTTTGCCTAATGCGGATTGGGGAATTTTCCGAGTGGTGAATCTTCTTCGACATGCAGGTTTTAATCAAGATGTTTTTCTTCACCGAAACGCTCACGGTAAATTTCAAATTAAATTCCAGTTATAAATTCCGAGAAACTCACGAGATGCGATTTTTGCTGAGATTGCCCAGATTTGAACCCACGACCTCAGCTTGAGAGGTGGTAGGTCAGATCTAAATCGCGTTTACATGTATTAATAATTTTACCATCTCAGTCGGGGGTGACCATGGGATCTGTAAAGGACACAGAACACCGGTTTATTCGAATAGGCAAATTTATGCTATTTAGAATAAATAGTTTCATTCCCAGTGTGTAACAACTGCGAAAGCATAAGAACTCGATAAATAAGACTCTTTATATCTCCCTCTAGCAGACCTCCTTGTGAAAGAGTTCGTCCAGCGAAGTACTGCCACCTTACCTACTTTTGCCGCCAAACAGTAATATGAGCATTACTGCATTCCAGTTTTGAAGGGTAAGGGTTCTGGTGAAATTACAGGCACATGTGACTTGTCAACTTATGTCTCAGGGTGACACAGGGTGATTTAAATGAGTGGCATTGCAACTGTTATGGACAGATGTGTAGCTTACCACCAGGCACACGACTTGTTCTTCCCGTCATTTGATGTTATAGAAAAAAAAAAACTTCACACAAACGTAACAGCGCGGCTTGTATGTGTGCGCGACCCGCCGCGCGCTATATACAGACGCCCACATTCGCATAATAATGAAAGGCGCATGTGACGACCAGTGTTATGCAACGCATCGTGATGTCATCGAGTGCATCGTGAGATTATACGAATGTTTGCGTCCGTACAGCCGCGCTGATGCGTTTGTATGGAGTTACCACACTTGTTTTATTACACTATGGTATTACGTTATGGTATTTTAGTAGCAGTGGAGCCCCTTGTGATAGAGTTCGTCCAGGGAAGTACTGCCTTATCTATTTCTGCCGCCAAGCAGTAATGTCAGCATTACTGCGATCCGGTTTTGAAAGCTGAGGGTGCTGGTGAAATTACAGGCACATGGGACTTGTCAACTTATGTCTCAGGGTGACGGGCGCAGTGGCAGTGCGCCTCAGATGTTTGCGATTTCACAACAAATTTCAGATTACTTTTTTCTATTTTATGCTTAAATAGGATTATTTTTTATTTTATTTCATATAGTACAACAACAGATAACAGACTACAAATAATACTTAGAACTACTACATAATGTAACATTGCAAATTTGTCACCCAATTATGATTGTACACAACAAAAAAGGAATCGTCAAAATCGGTTTACAAATGCCGTGTAATCGCGTAACATATACAAAAAAAAAACAGTCAAATTGAGAACCTCCTCCTTTTTTGAAGTCGGTTTTTAAACCGACTTCAAAAAAGACTTCAATAACTTGCATAGACATGCTTTTCTTACAGAAAGGTTTAGTACATCTGGTGATAGTAGAAGATGACAATCTTCGATCCAAACTGACGAAGAATGAATACACCACAATAGTATTCAGCTACCCGAGGTTCCTACCAATTGCCAAAGAAATACAGAGCACTAATGAGCAAGAAATAATAAAAGAGATCGTAGAAGCATTGCCAAAGGTCGACCACATAGATCCGGATAAGTTGAAGGTAAGTATGTTTCTAGTTTAAGTCAATGTTTAGGCTAAGATTTGTAAAACGAAATTTGACTTCGACTAAGACAAACGAACTTTCCTTAAGTTTAAACAATTTGCCTAAGTTTAAGCAAAAAATTACGAAACAATATCTAAATTTAATTTAAATTAACTTAAATTTTGAGATAATTTCGTAATGGCTTGCTTAAACTTAGGTAAAGTTCGTTTTGTAAATACTAAAAACTTGCTTGTTTATTTATTTATGTCATAGGTGCAGAATAGAAACTGTGAAGATGCGTAAAGTTGATATGCATTGCAATAGGAGTACATTTGTATTCCTATGACAGCCACGCACGGCATTTGTGAAGTAAATAAAGTACTGTAAGTACTTAGTAATTAACAGACTGTTGAACGAAATAAATTAATGCACTTCAAAACAATAGTAAAAATTCATGTTACACATATAAATATCCAACACATTCAGCTTCTCCTTACAAATATTTAAACAAGTCTTAATTAATAATCAATCTTAGTAATAAGCCGACTCGAAATCAAAGTTCGTTGTACGAATTGGATTAAAACTAAGTTAATTCTCATTTGACTCAGACAATTTGTATTGACAACCTCGATATCCCAACGGTTTACTCTATGTACAGCGATGAGAAGGTTCTGTTTTCTGGTTATTTTCTGGGTATTCTGGGAATTCCGTTGCACTGGTACTCATAGTACAGGGAAATCCCTAGTTTGAGACGAGGGAAGGTGTGTGCTTCTCTAGTATATTATTATTTTATTTTCCGGCTTGTGACATTTTGCGTATTTAAAAAATGAAGTGAATGGTTTTGTGGAATTATTTAACTAAGAATATTAATTATTGTTTTGGTCGATATTAAATATATCTATATACCTACCAACAAACTTTTGCAACAATAGTTCAGAATAGAGTATGGTTTGCTAATTTATTTACCATCTCGATAAACAGTGACCATGAGTCCATTAAAGTGCCGATTTAGATTCGAAACAAATTATTTTGATTTTCTATGTCAAAACCTAAGAACTAGATAAAATATAATATTTCTTTTGCAGAAAATTAGAAACCAACTCCGTCGAAATTTTGTGACTCCATGGGTACTATACTTGTCTACAAAAAAGAAGGATGACGATAGATTGCTGTTGCATAAAATGAGTGCAACATATCCCGATATGTATTTTGGTATGTATAAATCCGAACTTTCCTGGGCTATGTACTTTACTAACGATTCAACTTGAATACCTTTAAGGTCAGTGCCGTATCTTCAACATGGTACCTGCGTTTACGCTCGTGATGACATCTGCTCTAAACGTCTCCGTGACCTTGAAGACCCCGATCTCTCTGTAATGTGGGTTCTGGTAGACACTGGACTGGAACAAATTGTCTACGCCAGTGTGTATCGGTCGCATTCTGGAGACCCGGAGACGACTAGGCTGTTCAACCATCTCTGCAGCTCGGCGGAAACAGTCCAACAACGGTATCCTAAAGCACAACTTGTCTTTTTGGGGGACTTTAATGCCCATCACCAGGAATGGTTGTTCCCATACCAAAAAACCGACCACGCTGGAAGAGAGGCGCGGGCATGTGCTCTATCACTAGACCTCACCCAGCTGGTGAGTTGCGCTACCAGGGTACCGGACGTTGACGACCACACTGCCAATTGGCTGGATCTTCTGCTGACAACCGATCCAGACCGCTACCAAGTATCGGTCTCATCCCCACTAGGGACATCCGATCACTGTCTGGTGAAATCTGTATCTGTCTACTCCCCGCCCGATCTCAGTACGGGAAGTACTAGGAGGATGTGGCGATACAAGTCAGCTGATTGGGATGCGATGCGGCATTTCTTTGCATCTTATCCCTGGCGGCAGCTGTGCTTCTCTTCTGACGATCCGACGTGCTGCGCGTCTGCCGTCTCTGAGGTGATTATTCGGGCTATGGAATACTTTATTCCGTATTTCGAAGTCTCCTCCAGCGGCAAAGCTCGCCCTTGGTTTAACGCTGAGTGTGCTTCTGCGGAAACGCTAAGGCAATCTGCGTACCAGGCTTGGGCTGATGCTCGAGATCGCAAAGCACCGGAAACCCTACGTCTGAAGAAAGCCTTTAATAAATAATAAAAAAATAAAATAAAGCAAAAAAGCGATACGGAAAGCTCGCTTCGGCCATATTAGTCGTATTGGGGTCAGGTTAGCTTCATACCCATCAGGGAGTAAAGCATTCTGGTCACTCGCTAAATCGGTCGAAGCGAATTTCTGCAGGTCATCCCTTCCGCCTTTAATGAGAGATGACGGATCGCTGGCTCATACCGCTGAAGAGAAAGCAAATCTTTTTGTTTCTCTTTTTGCTTCCAACTCCCGTCTTGACGCTACTTTGCAAACACCACCTACACTACCTCGATGTGACTCGGAAATGCCCGAAATCACTATCCGTCAAAAAGAGGTGTTGAAAGCTTTACGCAAATTAGACGTCAACAAAGCCAGTGGCCCTGACGGAGTCCCAGCGATTGTCCTGCGGAACTGTGCACCCGAGTTGTCTCCGGTGTTGACTCGCCTGTATCGCCTCTCTATGAGTTCTGGACAAGTCCCGAAATCCTGGAAGCTTGCAAATGTACAGCCTGTACCTAAGAAAGGTAGTCACCCATCTAATTATCGACCTATCGCAATCACCTCCATACTCTGTAAGACTATGGAGCGCGTATTGAACAGCCGTCTCCTTGGATACCTCGAAGATAACGATCTCCTCAGTGATCGACAATATGGTTTTCGCCGTGGACGATCTACTGGGGATCTTCTTGCGTACGCCACACATTTATGGAGCGAGGTTGTCGAGAAACGCGGTGAATCGCTTGCCGTGTCTCTCGACATATCAAAGGCCTTTGATAGGGTTTGGCATGATAGCCTGTTAAACAAGCTTCCAGCTTACGGAATTCCTGTTGGCTTTTGCACATGGATAGGCGATTTTCTGAAGGATAGGTCAATCCGTGTAGTTGTAGATGGTTACTCGTCTGCTCCTCATGGTATAAATGCCGGTGTACCTCAGGGATCTGTCCTCTCCGCCACTCTATTCTTGCTGCATATCAACGACCTGCTGCTGATGCCCGGTATCTTTGGGTACGCAGACGACAGCACAGTGGCGGTGATTTATGTGCCAGACGCCCGAGACAACAGTGAAGAGATCCGGTGTAAGCGAGAGGCGATGGTCACCCGGTTGAACCTGAGTCTGAAAGCTGCTTCCGACTGGGGAGATGCTAACAGGGTCAGGTTTAATGCGGCTAAAACACAGGCGTGTCTTTTCTCATTAAAACGGAGTCCCCTACACCTTACTCCGACTTTCCGAGGTGTCGTCGTGCCGATAAGGGACCACCTTGAGCTCCTTGGACTGGACTTATCATCCAACCTCAACTTTGGGCGATACATCGAGTGCTTGGCAAAAACTGCTGCCAGAAAACTAGGCATACTTTTCAAGGTCAAGCGGTACTTGACACCTGAACAGCTTTTAAATCTATATAAAGCACAAGTTCGATCCTGTATGGAGTACTGCTCCCACCTTTGGGACGGCTCTGCCCAATACCAGTTAGCTGCCTTGGACTCGGTGGAGCGTAAAGCAAAGAGACTTATTAACAATAATCCTCTTGTGGAGTCGAAGCTCCAAAATCTTGATCATCGCAGAAAAGTAGCCTGCTTGTCGGTTTTCTATCGGATACATTTCGGGGAGTGTGCGCAGGAACTTTTCAATTTGGTTCCGCCCTCACCGTTCCTCCTTCGGTCGACTAGAAGGTCCGGAGCACTCCATTCTTATGTCGTTGATATTCCACCTATTCGCACTAAGCGCTTTGCTTCCTCCTTTCTGATGCGTACGGCAAAGGAATCTACCGGCATCTGTATTTCCCGAAAAGTACAATTTGGGGCTATTCAAGGCTAGAGTGAACATTTTTTAGGCAAACGCGTCCCATCGTCGCTTAACATCAGGTGAGATTGTGGCCAAGCGTGTGTCTAGTATATATATAAAAAAAACATGGTTTTGATTATAGTGACCCTCCCTAACAACCTCTTGGTTATGCGGGGAAGTCACTGTAACCTGTGCAAGCATAGCGCTCTTCTAAATTCAGGTTCTGACCCCGGATCAGCCCGTGTACAGTTTAAGGTCAGAGTTACTAGGCATTTTCAGTTATACCTACTTCTTCTTCCTCTTTATAGTGTTATTTTGTAGCAGTTGAGCTCGTTGTGAAAGCGTTCATCCAGGGCAGTACTGCCACCTTATCTATTTCTGCCACTAAGCAGTAATGTCAGCATTACTGTGTTCCGGTTTTAAAGGGTAAGAGTGCTGGTGAAATTACAGGCACATGGGACTTGTCAACTAATGTCCAGGGTGACGGGCGCAGTGGCAGTGTGCCTCAGATTTTTACGATTTAAAGAGCTGAGTGGCACTGCAACTGTTATGGACAGGCGTGTCGCTTACCATCAGGCGCACGACTTGATCGTCCCGTCACTCGATATTATTAAAAAATAAATTGAGCTCCTTGTGAAAGAGTCTGTCCAGAGAAGTTTTTTTATACTTTTGTATAAATCTAAGTGCGCATTAGACCTCCATCTCACCTGATCGAAAGTGACGATGAGGTCGACGATGGAGCATGCACACCTAAATAATGCCTATTCACTCTCGCCTTGAAAAGATCCAAGTTATAAAGTTCCAGCAACAAGTCTGCAAGCAGGGAATTCCACTCCGTAGCTGTTCGCCATATGAATGTGGAAGCATAACACTTCTTGCTTTGGAATATTCACTATATGTATATGAGTGGAATATAGACGACGTCTAGTCCCTCGATGATGGAAAGGGGAAGGCGGAATTAAATCGTGTAATGCCATCGCACGCTCCCTGTGATATATCCCGTAAAATACCGTACCGTACTGTCAGTACTTCCACCTTACCTATTTTTGCCGCCTAGAAGTAATGCCTTACTGCCTTCCGGTTTAGAAGGGTAAGAGTGCTGGTGAATTTACAGGCACATGGGACTTGTCAACTTATTGTCGGGGATAGTGCATATCCGCGTATGTAGCATTGGTAAAAGGCGCGTATCGCGTATAATATATATTTACTCAAAATTTGACCGGTGTATTTCGATAGAATTCAGAGAAGAGGAAAATCTACAACAGACAACGTACACAGACTATTACAGAAACAAATTGTTGCTTTTATCGATTATAATCATTGACTTACAAATAAATGGACGACGGGTCTAATACAAAAACCACGAAAAAAATTTCCCAAGTCAACCTATTCGAAATTTAAATTGTAATGTCATCGCAGTATCGCGCTGTCAGTAGAACAAATGAAGACTAAAGCGGAGTGTCGCGCTCTGTATACGATTTTAGCGCCTTACAAGTGCGGACACTTTTTAGCGCGGACCCGACGTCCATATAATTGTAAGTCAATGATTATAATCTGTTTTTTTTTCAAGACGAAGTAAAATGACAATTCGTTGCGTAGAAGTCTTTCTCGCTTTAAAAGCAGCTAGTATTTGCAGTCGATAAATATTCTATCGGCTGAATATTAGTATTAGCTATTAAATAGCCGAAGTTGTTTCATTTACAGGTGTATAAATTGTTAATGAAGTAAAATGCAGGGTTCGGAGTTATCAAGATGTTTATTTTCTTTGATAATTATCAAGATAAGTTTTTATTGAATACCAGGAGGTTTCAACATCGTGATATACAATTTTTGTTTTGTGAAATGACGCCACTAGCTTGTTATAATTATTAATACAAAGATCGAACACCAGCGAGCTAACCGTGTCAGTCGCTACGGCGAAATAAGTTGTTAAAACCATAAACAAAGATCCGACAACAAGCACATAGAAAAATTCGTGAGGTCCGCTGGTTCGTTCCGTGGCTTAGTTGGCATAGCGTCTGGCACGGTTTGCTAGGAGACGTCGGTTCGAATCAGGCCGGATCGAAGGATTTTCTTCTAAGTGTTCAATGTTTGTATTAATAATTATTACAATTACCCATGCTTATTCATAGTTTTGTCTAATTTTTTAAATATGACGAACAGTGTGAAAACTAAATAAACACGAAGGTCTTTTGGGAAAACGATTTGGTTTGTGACTTCTTTTTTTAATACATTTGAATACGTCTGGCACAAACACATGGCATGACATTGCTAGAAATAGCTTTTTGTTCCAA